CTGCACTTCAATTTAAACTTAGCTCCATCTTTTTTTCTTAACTCCCCCTATTAGTAAAAATAAACCTTAAGGGACTAGCCCTTGCTGCCCTCTGCGTCCCCCCTTTTTTCTGACCTGATTATTTTTTTTATTTATAACTTTATGCTGAATGCCTTTTTTACATTTACGTTTTTTGAACCCAGTGTTTCAAACCCGCTTTTTTCCCCACACACCCATACCCCCCATCTTCTTTTATTTAAAATCTAGGCTTCCCAATGGGCCTCTCAATCGAGCTGCAAGTGCACCACCCCAGCCCCAGAAGATTACCCCATCCCTGCAAAATATCATGTTTTTCCATAAAAGTTTTTCCGTTTCAAGAATTGGGGTTGCAGTTTCCCTTTCAGTATCTGTCTAGCCAGCAATTTACACCAATTGCCCAACAACCTTTTATTTCCTAATCCCCTTTTAGGGAAATGCACATATGTTGGGGGCCCTCCCTTAGACTTAATGCAATCTATACGACCTATACTTATCTAGCAGCTCTTCTCTCCTACCCTTCCCCAAAATTTATTTCCACCCGCACGAGACAATAATGGGCTTGTTTTCCCCTTACCTGACAGAATTATCCAGCCTGTTGACTATGTCCCCCAACACCACTCCAGGAAGCACACTCTACTCTCATCTTCTTATTACTGATATCTTTTTTGTTCCAAAAAATTTCAGATAGGGTTTTTCCCGGTCTTTTTTTTTAAACACCTTTTAAGTTGAAATCCCGTTCTCATAAACAATTTTTTTGCCCTATCAGGCTGGTTTTGGATTGAGAGTAACATTTTTTTTGGTTTTCGGTTACCTAATTTGACTTGGAGAGTTCCGGGGGAAAACCCCCACAGCCGGTCTGTGCAGCCCATGGGGGATTAGGGCCTGATCAACCAGGGTTTTTACTGCTGCTGCATGCAAACCAACGTATAGCCACAGCCCCTGGTCAGGGACCGACTTTAGGGGCTTTTCCAGGCCGCTTTTAAGACAGCCAGGGGGGCATTGGTAAAACCCCTTTAGTATGCGGGAGGCATTAAACAGGCTTGGACCCCGACACTTATTGAGTTTTTCTCTTAACGCAGTGCACCTTGCTTTTCATTGGGGGGATGTTGTATCGTCTGCCAGTCTTTTGCTTTCGTAGGGGGATTTTTGTGTGCAAAATTTGTACTAGTCCCCTAGGTTTTCCAGTGTAAAATCATGTATCCCCTGCCCTTCATTCCAGGGAGTACGCTTCAGGAACTTTAAGCGCTCCCAGTAATTGAGGTGTTTTTTCTCCGTTATGCACGCCGTGAAGGTTCTCTGTACATTTTGTAGGTCAGCAATTTCACCTGCCTTGAAAGGTGCTATTAGTGTGCAGCAATATTCCAGCCAAGATAGAACAAGCGACCTGAAGAGTGTCATCATGGCTTGGCATCCCTAGTTTTGAAGGTTCTCATTATCCATCCTGTCATTTTTCAAGCAGATGTGATTGATACAATGTTATGGTCCTTGAAGGTGAGATCCTCCGACATGATCACTCCCAGGTCTTTGACGTTAGTTTTTCGCTCTATTTTGTGGCTGGAATTTGTTTTATACTCTGATGAAGTTCTAATTTTCCTCATGTTTACCATGTTGGAGTAATTGAAATTTCTCATCGTTGAACTTCATATTGTTTTCTGCAGCCCATTGAAAGATTTGGTTCAAGTCTGCCTGGAGCCTTGCATTGTCTGCAATGGAAGACACTGTCATGCAGATCCGGGTGTCATCTGCAAAGGAAGACAAGGTGCTGCGACCCATTCTGTACTGTTTTTCATATACAGTAGACCCCCCGCCTCACGAACGCATCGCGTTACGTTAAATCCGCCATACGAAGCATTTGAACGCAAAAAATTTTGCCTCGCATCGTGATAAAAAAACTCGCCTTACGTGATTCGTCCGGGACGCGTGCCACGTGTGGCCTCAGAAGCCAGTGTTTACAAGCCAGCCAGTGTGGGTCGCATCTACGCATACATTCGGTACATTTCACATTATCCCAGTGTTTCTAGTGCTTGTAACTGCAAAGTAAGTCGCCATGGACCCCAAGAAAGCGTCTTGTCCCATCCCTGTGGTAAAAAGGGGCGAGAATTAGTATGGAATTGAAAAAAAAGAGATTAAGGAAATGTGTGCAAGGTGGGTTGAACTGCGAACCTTTACGGATGAAAATCACCCTGACACAGCTACTGCAAGCCGTGTTATGGCCCATTTTAGGAAAGTCTTAAAGGAACAGGAGGTACAGAGCTCTATGGACAGATTTGTTGTGCGACAGAGGTCCGGTGACTCTCAAGCTGGTCCTAGTGGCATTAAAAGAAGAAGGGAAGTAACCCTGGAAAAGGACTTGCTACATCAAGTCCTAATGGAAGGGGATTCCCCTTCTAAACAATAACTTCCGCACTCTCCCCTCCTCCCATCCCATCAATCATCACCAGATCTTCAATAAAGGTAAGCGTCATGTATTCTATTCTTAGTAGAGTAGTAATTGTGCATGTCTTCTTCAGTTTGTGTGTATTAAAATTAATATTTCATGTGGTAAAATTTTTTTTTTTCATACTTTGGGGTGTCAGGAACGGATTAATTTGATTTCCATTATTTCTTATGGGGAAAATTAAGTCGGCTAACGATAATTTCAGCTTACGATGAGCTCTCAGGAATGGATTAATATCGTAAGGCGGGGGGTCCACTGTATTGTTTTAATGTCACTTTTGCACCATTTATAACATTTCTGGTATATTTTTAAAACTTCATGCAAAAGTGTATTGTGCACTGTAAATAAACAGAACAGAGGAAATCAGCTCTAATATACATCATTTAGGTATGTATACTGGTCAGAGAGCCCGTCATAAGTCCGAGTTGTTGGTAAATGAGTACGTTGCTAAGTGAGGAGACGCTGTAATAAAAATAATAATAAATTACTCTGGGTTGCTTTCAATGTTGTATATTACATTATTATAGGTATTTTCATTAACCCATCTATAACATTTTTTTTTTTCAAAATTATATAAGAAACATGCTACATATCATATAAACAAGATATATACAATCATAGTAAAACAAATAACATAATTGTGAGGTGTGGTAGCCAGGCGGGCTACCACACCTGACTTCATACAATAAATGCCACAGGCTGAATAGTGGAGTTGACTTAATTTGTGTACATACTTGTGTCTATCATTAAGATAAGATTTTAGGTAATTGAGGAAATGTCCTCTGATGCTGTAATGATTTAGTTTTAGGTGCAGGAGATTGTGATCCACTGTATCAAATGCTTTCCATAGATCTATGAAGAGCCGCAGAGGATATTCAGTTTTATTAAATGCTGTATATATTAGTTAAAGCATTTGTATAATACCATCATTCATACTTCTTTTTGGTCTAAACTAAAACTCGCAGGGGTTAAGTATGTTGTTGGATTGTGTGGATGTAAGGTAGGAGTAAAGTTGTTTGTGTATTATTTTTTCAAAAATATTAGAAAGTAAGGGCAAGTTTGATATAGGTCTATAGTTGTTCAATTCAGTTGGATCACCTCTTTTGAGGATCGGAGTAACCCATGCTGTCTTGAGTATGGATGGGAAGTTTGAGTACTCTACAGATTTGTTAAACAGTTTGCAATAATGGTGGGAGAATGTTAACAAATTCTCACTACAGGCAGCACACCTCCACCAATATTCAAAACTCTAAACCTACTCACCATACAAAACATCCATACTTATTACTGCACCTACTACATACATAGAACACTTAACTCTGATATAAACCCTCCCCTCAAACGTCTCCTTACCAACCTCAACAGAACACATGACCATAACACAAGCCACAGATCACTCTTTGATGTTCCTCATGTCCATCTCACGCTATGCAAAAACCCAATGCACATAAAAAGCCCTAAAATCTGGAATTCATTACTGGTGAATATAAAAGAAACACTGTTTATAAATTTAAGTCTCTTCTCAAAAATCACTTACTCACCTACAACTAAATAAATACTGAACAATTGTATCTCATAAATGTTTTTTCAATCAAACTTTTTGTTATTTTTTAATTATATTACCTAACAAAATACTCCATTCTACTGAATGCACAGCAACACAGTAAATGACCATATGACCTGTCTTTGTAATACTCATTTGTGCTAAATTGTTATCTGTTTACAATAATGTTTTTACCACTGAATATATCATTGCTTATTTTAATCTTAATTTAAATTTTAAAGCCTGCCCATAATGCTCTGCATACAAGGGGCTTTGGCATGTTGCACTTTAATAACTGTATTCCTTTGTACTTCTCTGTATCATGTTCAAATTAATAAATAAATAAATAAATAAATAGGATTGTTCACTGACGTTATCACTACCACTGATTACTGCTAGCATTTACTGCGCACCTTAAAAACACTAAGGTTCTCAGAGCCTTGATCCCCACGTCTGTGTGACTGCATGTGTATGTGTGTATGATGGTGTCTCTGTACATGCATGTATGATGGTGTCTCTGTACATGTATGTATGATGGTGTCTCTGTACATGCATGTATGATGGTATCTCTGTACATGCATGTATGATGGTGTCCTGTACATGCATGCTTTGATGGGTCTCTGTACCATGCATGTATGATGGTGTTTTCGTATCTAGTCAAGTATCTGCTCCTTGTAGTTAGGATAACTGAGGACTTGTTTAGTACTGTTACTGCACCACAAAAAAACACTATTAAATCAGAATAACAACAAAAAGTAGTAATAAATGCACTGAAGTACTGTACTGAATAGCTAATTTAGTACTGTACACAGAGTTTAGAGAAATACTTCAATAAACACTGAAAATAAAGAAATAAAAAGAACAATTTTACCAGTAGATTTTGCTAAATATTTGAAATTCCATTATTTCAAGAGTATATTGTATTACAGTATATTTTTTATAAACCTGACCTGATAAAAAGATTTTCGAATTTCAGTCAAGGTGATGGGGTAGAAAATTTGCTTTATCATTACCAGCACAGTAAACATAAACCAGCTCCTGTAGTAGCTGTGATGATGGTATAGGGTCACTGGCAGCATCCTGCAGGGCAAACCCACAACTTCATCAAACATCTGTTATGAATGAATTATGCTGTTATTGCTTTATCAGTTTAATAACAATAATAATTTTTTTTTTAACACCAGTCATCTCCCACCCCAAAGGGAGGGTAATTCGAAAAAGAAGGGAACACTACATAAATAACCCACACCTAGGAGAGAAAAGTTTACGACAACGTCTCAGTCTGATTTGGACCACGTACAAAGTCACACTAATCACAAAACAGTGAGGGAGCCAGTATATATAGATGGCCGGTTTGCTGAAAGAAGATAAAGACAGACATATGTATGTATGTACAGCGGACCCCCGGTTAAACGGCCGTTCTGTTATCGCCAACTCGTGATCGGCCGGTTTTTTTGGGTGCCCAGTTATCAGCCATTAATTCAGTGATCGGCCATTTGGGACGCGTCCATCCGTCAGCCGGGGCCACTTTGGGGGCCAGTTTGGCTGTCTCTCTCGGTGGCTGAGGAAGCTTCTGCTCATACATCCAAACATTTTGCTTATTTCCCATTGTAGTTTGTGTTATTTATGAAGTGCAACTGTGAAATAAGTAACCATGGCTCCAAAGAAAGTTCCTATGGTAAAGAAGGCGGGAAAAAACCATGGGAAATTTAAATGTGAAGTGATTGAAAAGTTTGAAATTGGTATGAGGGTGGTGGAACTTGCCAGGATGTACAGCAAGAATAAATCAACAATTACATCCATCCTGGCAAAAAGAACAAATCCCAAAGGGTGCTAATGTTGCAAAAGGAGTAAACTTTTCTAAAATAAACAAAGGGCACCAATAATGTAAGAGAAAAGAAAAGTTGTTATTATTGTGGATTAAGGAAAAAAATAGTGGGAGACAGTGTTTGGAGTTGATTATTTGTGAGAAGGCAAGGCAGTTGCACGAGGATCTTGCAAAGAAAATGCCTGGAACAAGTGATGCAGTTTGTGAATTTAGGGCCAGCAAAGGATGGGGGTTTTATAGATTTAAAAAGCGTAGTGGCATACACAGTGTTTTTAAGGCATGGTGGGCTACAAGTTTTGACAAATGTACAGCTGAAAAATTCATGCAGAATTCCAGGGGGACATAGAGGCTGAAGGAATTCAAACCCCAACAAGTGTTCAATTGTGACAGAAAAAGGCCTGATTCACGAAAACGTAATGACACAACTGCAAACAAACCATACCACGGGCGGGGATAGAACCTGCGATCAGATCTCAAAACCCCAAAACCTCACTTTAGCCACTGGCCACTACCACAAAAAGATTCGTCCAAAAAGGGTTATTTCACACCATGGGAAAGGTTAGCATAGGCCTACGTGCCCAAAAAATGCAAGTTTTTCAGACGTCTCCACCAGCGGGCTGTACAACCCAGCTAAAGCCCCTCAATGCTGTCAACATACTCATAAATCGTAAAAACATGTTTAAAACAAACCATACACGGGCGGGGAAACCCGGATTTTATTGGGGCTAGCTGGTCCATGCTAACCGACGGTCTGGGTTCGGACCTCTGATTGCGGTTCTACCCCGCCCGGGGGCATGGTTTAAAACACCTGTTTTGGAAATGAAAACAGGACCTACTTTACCCGGGAGGAAAAGGCACGCCAGGCACAAGCCAGAAAACGGCTTACCCTTTGTTTGTGGAAAATGCAGGGGGGATTTAAAAAGGAAGTCTTTACTCGTTTATCACTCAAAAACCCAGTTTCAAAAAAACAATGTCTGAAGAACGATTGGTGTGTTTGGGGAAACAAACAAAAGGGCAGGGGTCACAAGGAAAATTTTTCAAAGAGTGGGTTAATGATTTTTTTGGGCCCAAGTGTGAAAAAATACCTCCTGGAAAAAAATTGCTACTCAATGCCTCCCGGGACTGGACAAGCTCCTAACTCCCCAGACTTGGAAGCCATTTTAGGGCTTTAAATTTTTTAAAACAATTCTTGCCCCCTAAAACCACTCCTCTCCTCCGCCATGGACCACGGTCATTTCTACTTCAAAAAAATCTACACAAAAGCAGTGTTTTCAAAAATGCTTTGAATGACCCAGACACCCATTGACCCTAGGAGAGTTTTTGGAGGAATCACTTTAAATCCTCCATGCATAAGCCCTTTTAGGTAAGGCTTGGGGGGGAGCAAATTCCCCGACTTTTAAAACCCGCATGGAGAAAACTGTGGGCCCGATTTTGGGCCAAAAGGGATTTTGAAAAGTTTGAGGCTGACCCTGACCCTGGGATCTATTGTGGCACTGGGAATCTCGGGGTTGGAGGTGAGTGGCAAGGATGGGAAGATTTGGGGGGGGGGGGGGGGGGGGGGGGAAACCCCAGGGGAAGAGTAACCACGAAGAGCTGCAAGAGCTTCAATTTAACAGCAAAGACTGCAGCTCACTTTCTTCACAGGAAAAAGAGGGAGTGAAGGAGGGGCCTTTTTCATTGATTAAAACATTTGTGCAAAAGGGGAAGATTGCAAAGTTTTTTTGAGAATACCCCCTAACAAGGCTGAAACAACCATATCCCGCAACATGTTTAGGGCAAAACCCTGTCCCACTTTAGGAAAATCTTAAAGGGTATGTTTTTTATCTTTAAAGTATATCTTCAAACTTTTGTATTCTGACACCCCTGCAAAAACAGTGATAAAATGTGAGGTGGTGAAAGGGTTTAATGTAATGATGCTGAAAGTATTTTTTTTTGGGGGTTTTCTTTTCTTTTTTGGGGCACCCCGCCTCGTGGGAGACAGCCGACTTGGTTGAAAAAAAAAAAAAAATATATATATAAATATATAATATATATATATATAAATATATATATATATATATATATATATATATATAGATATATATATATATATATATATATATAATATAAATATAGTAATAGAAGATAAATAAGTATACACGATATGATGTAGGGCGAAAATGACAGTATTTGTTGGATTATGTATGGTAGATAAAAGACTGTTGAGTAGACTTTCAGGATTGTACATGTTTATAGAGGGCCACAGATATATCAGATCACTTTCTAGTTTGTAGCTACACTGAGAGTAAAAGGTAAGATGGGATACAAGGAGAATATGAAGCATCAGGGAAGAGAGAGGTAAAGGTTTATAAACTAAAGAGGAGGCAGTTAGGTAAGATATAAACAGCTATTGGAGGATAGATGGCAAAATGAGAGCATAGCAATGGGGTCGAAGAGGTATGGGGTAGGTTTTAAAATGTATGTTAGAGGGTTCAGCAGAAGTTTGGGTTACAGGAAAGTGGGTGCAGGAGGGAAGAGGAGCGATTGGTGGAATGATAATGTAAGAGAGTATAAGGGAGAAAAAGTTGCATATGAAAGTTTTTAACAATAGAAGTGATGCAAGGAGGGAAGAGTAATGGAGAAAAAGAGAGAAGTTAAGAGAGTGGTGAAGCAATGTAAAAAAAGAGAGCAAATGAAGAGTGGGTGAGATGTTATCAACAAATTTTTGTGGAAAATAATAAAAAGTTTTGAGTGAGATTAACAAGTTTATAAGCCAGAGAACAAATTGATTTGTCAGTTAAAACTAGGAGAGGAGAGTTATTAAATGGAGATTAGAGGTATTGGGAAGAATGGCAGGAATATTTTTGAGGAATTGTTTAATGTTGATGAAGATAGGGAAGCTGTGATTTTCGTGTATATTAGGCAAGGAGAATAACATCTTGTAGAGTGAGGAAGAGTCGTTGTGAGTGTGGGGGAATGTTCGTGAGCAGTAGTAAAAATGAAAGGGGGTAAGGCAACCGGGATTGATGGGATAAGGATAGAAATGTTAAAAGCAGGTGGGGATATTAGTTTTTGGAGTGTTGGTGCAATTATTAATAAATGTATGGAAGAGGGTAAGGTACCAGGGATTGCAGAGAGCATTGCATATTTCCTTTGTATAAAGGCAAAGGGGGAATAAAAAAGAGTGCAAAAATTATAGGGGGATAAGTCTGTTGAGTGTACCTGGTAAAGTGTAAGGTAGAGTTATTTATAATTGAAAGAATTAAGAGTAAGACGAGAATAGGATAGAAGATGAAACAAGGAGGCTTTAGGAAAGGTAGGGGGTGTGTGGACCAGGTTTTACAGTGAAACTATAAGTGAATCTGTATTTAGATAAGGCTAAAGAGGTCTTTGTGGCATTTATGGATTTGGAAAAGGCGTATGACAGGGTGGATAGGGGGGCAATGTGGCCGATGTTGGCAAGTGTATGGGTAGGAGGTTGGTTACTGAAAGCAGTGAAGATTTTTACGAGGATAGTGAGGCTCAGTTAGAGTATGTAGAAAGAGCGGGAATTTTTTCCCATAAAAGTAGGCCTTAGACAAGGATGTGTGATGACCACCGTGGTTGTTTAATATATTTAATCGATGGGGTTTGTAGCTGGCAGAAGTAAAGCGAGGGTCTTGTCAAGCGGCTGAGTTAAAAGATAAAGAATCTCACACAAAGTGGGAGTTTGTCACGAGGGAAGCTGCCTTTGCAGACGACACTGTGCTCTGGGAATTCTGAAGAGAAGTTTTGCAGAGATTGGTGTGATGAATTTGGTAGGGTGTGCAAAAGAAAAAATTAAAGGTGAATACAGGAAAGAGTAAGGTTATGAGGATAACAAAAATATTAGGTGATGAAAGATTGAATATCGATTGGAGGGAGAGAGTATGGAGGAGGTTGACGTATTCAGATATTTGGGGAGTGGACGTGTCAGCGGATGGAGGTCTATGAAAGATGAGGTGAATCATAGAAATGAGAGGGAAAAAGAGTGATGTGCACTTAGGAGTCTGTGGAGACACAGAACTTTGTCCTTGAGGCAAAGAGGGAATGTATGAGAGTATAGTTTTACCAACGCTCTTATATGTGGGTGTGAAGCGTGGGTGATGAATGTTGCAGCGAGGAGGAAGCTGAGGCAGTGGAGGATGTCATGTCTGAGGGCAATGTGTGTGTGGAATATAATCAGAGAATTCGTATTGGAAGTTAGGAGAGGTGTCCGGGATTACCAAAACTGTTGTCCAGAGGGCTGAGGAAGGGTTGTTGAGGTGGTACGACATGTAGAGAGGA